AAGTTTCTAAAGAGTGGCCGTAATACTGCACAGAGCTGAGCTGGCGTAAGAAATCTCTCGTTTGTTATCTACTGCAGTACGATCGAAATCTGCCTGTAAGCTGCTGTATTGGATATGCTTATACATTGCTGAAAGAGAAAATATGCAGTGCGTAGGAAAAAATGCCACTGCAAGCAAAGGCTGCATAGTAATACTTAAGCTTGTAGGCAGAACTGTGCTTATCTGCTTGAGACTCAGCTTTTTATGAAAAAGGCATCCGTGTTTGTTTAATGTGTCCCTTATCAAATTCAGAAGCTAATATTTGAGTTAGTCCTCCTTGAAGATAAACTGGGAATGTCTGAATGGGAATTAAGATGCTGTGTATCATCTTCCCCCAACGAGTATCCGAGTGGTTTACCTGGAATCCAAAGGAGGGTCTTGCAGGTGTGTATTCGACCTGTGTTCAGAGGAAGGTCTCTTAAAAGCAAGTGTATGGAATGAAAGTGTATGGGGATGTTGTAGCGAGGCAACCTATAGCAGTCAGGAAAAGAGGGTGATTTCTTACTGAGGACGAGCTCTAACCATTGATATAAGAACCCAGGGACTCCCACCGCAGGTGATAATTAACATTTGGAGTTGTTCAGGTTCTCACATGTCTTACCTTGTGCTTGGTCAAGCCGAATGCTGGAAGGAGCCYGAGTAGCTGTGACTTGCTGGATGCATCAGTTGGAGAAAAGGCAAGTGCACTATTGAGCCAGCTGCACAGGTGAGTGAAAATTCTATTTGGGGAAAGATGGCAAAACTCGCTGAACAAAATACAATAACCTTGAAGGCTGAAACATCTCCCTGGCGGTGGGGATGCGGAGAAAGCGTGGCGCATTCCCCCTCAGCTGCGCTAAGCTGTGGTTTTGTGGAGGCTGCTGAATCTCCGGGGATGTCGGATGAGCCCCTTGCTGCTTCCTGGGCCTCTGGACCGCGCTGCGCATGGTCCTGGTGCCAGATGCGGCGCGCTGGCTTGGGGCAGCGCCTGCCTCGCCACACACCTGGCGCCTTCACCGTTTTGTTCCTATATTTTCCACTTTTGCCCAGAAATTGGTGAAAGTTACTTAAAAAAAAAAAAAAAATTAATTGGTTAGGAGCCATTACTAGGAACTACTAATAGAGGAATACTAATAGAACTTGGGAGCTTAAGGAAAAGTGCAAGAAAATGCCAGGAAATCATTTGGGAAATTGCAGGATCCAAGCAAGAGGAAGCCGGTTGTGGTTTCAAAGATGTGCGATCGAGATCCGAAGTAGGGCAGCACTTATCTTCCCGGCCCAGGATGGAGCCCCGGGAAGCGGAGCAGCTCCCGGGCACGGCGCAGACGCAGCCCAGCCGCCYGCCCGGGAAGAGCAGGTTTCCTGGCAAAGGGGGATCGTGAGTTCCAGGCAAGGGGGAGAGCTGCCCTCACTGTCCTGAAAGCCTCTTAGCAAAACCAGAGTCTGGCCTTGCTGGGTCTCTCCTAACAAACGGGATTCATGCGCACATCGCCTTTTCCAATTTTCATGCACATTGTCCTATTCCTTTTCTCCTCCCATGCATTCTCTGACTTAGTAAGTCTCTCCACGCCCAGCTGAATGTTTGCTTATCATGTCATTGAGAAGCAATGGAAATTGATTAAAAAAAAAAAAAAAAAAAAAACCTCTGTGTGACAGACTTGTAGGATCCTATCAATCTATTTCCTTTCAGCAAAGGAATTTCCAGCTTTTCCAAAATCCATTCCAAAACAGTGCGCAGAGGACGCAATTGCTCCCCTAAAGCACTTACTCCCAGACATGCAAATGGAAAACCCTTTCTTGACTAATTTCTACAGGCGTTATTCATGCAGGTTTTTCACGATGGATCACTCACTACATGGCACTTCGCATTCCCCAGGAATGGTGCAACGGTGAAGCCGTGGGAAAACGAGGTGTCTTTGGAAGAAGAAGTCRCTTATCTCCTACAGCTTCCCTGTGTTCTGCTGGAAGTGGCACCTGACGCTGAGCGTAGACCCGTCCCGTGTGCTCCTGCTGTGATTGCCACCCGTCGGATGTTCTCGCTGCTCCTCTCCATGCCCCTYGTGGAGCTGCCCGGAGCTCCGGTGAGTCAGGAAGCTGGCGGCTGGCTAATGCAGGTGTTGTCGCCCTCATGGGGCACCTTTGCCTTGGGGCACGTCAGAAGTGATGCAAGGGTGCCTCTAACTGAGGCTGGCAGCGCACTGAAAAGAGGCTGAGGTTGACTTCAAAGGAATAGCTCAGGACATCCAAAGCCAAGTTGCTCTCGTTAGCCTGTGCCCAGTACTCGAATCAAATGAGATGCGTGTACWTGGTCTGCAGTGTGTACCCAAATATCCCTAATGCAGGTTTGGGGCTCTTATCTGGGACCTTGACCGACCTCTATGAGAGATGYGAGTGTCTTGTGCCTCTCCGTGCTGCCTCGTGGCTGCTGACGGCRAGTGGGTGATCCCTGGTTTTGCCCATCTTCCATCCTCGTTCCGCTCCGGTAGCCAATGCCGCGGGTGCTCAGAGCGCTTCGCACAAGTGAGCAGCAGATTGTGTTGCAAGGAGAATGTAAGAAACAGCCACAAAACGTCCTATAATTTCCTGTGATAATCTGGTGCGATCATCTGCCGAGATATTCCAAGGAGCTGTAGGAATAAGTTGTTCCAAAAACAAACTCTCGCTTAAGGAAGTAAAGCGAATCACAACTATTACTGGTATTTGCTGTGGTTTATTTTGAGCTGAATATTTCAGCTATAAGCTCTCGGAGGGAAGAAATGTGGGCGAATCCAAGGCTGTTGACAGGCGGAGTAGCTGTGTGAGGTGCAACCTTGCTGCTACCCAAGTGTAATGCACATTCCAGTTTGGATCCATTGCTGCTGTCAGACCCCAATTTACTAAATTTTCCCTTTAGAAGGTCAGCATCATTTAAGGTTAGTGGAAGGGAGGAAACCACTTCCACTTTTACAAGGGGAGTGCTGCCAAGGAGTCCTCGGGAGCCGAGCAGGGAGCAGCTCAGCTGCAGGAGGAGGATGAAGGTGGGAGGTCTCCCCTTTCTGCCCGCACGGTCGAGCGGAGGGAGTCCAAGCTGCTGGAGCAGCGCTGTGCCTCAGCTAATATACTTCAAGAACTGTGCAATGATCGTAATTAGGGGGAAAAAAGTCCTCCAGAGAGAAATATGACTCACAGTTTATGTTCGCTTTAGTGTTGCTATGGAAAAAGAGGTTAGTGCCAGTGGTCATACAGTAATTCTAATCTCTGATCGGAGAGGAAAATAAAGACAAATAAAGAAAAAGCCCTCAGCTTAACCCAGAGTGGATTTCTCCTCCATAACCAAAATGTGCTTCATTACAAGGGATAACCACGCAAGAACTACTGMAGATGGCATCAATGATCAGTTCTCAACATGCAGTTGGGGTTCCTGGTTTGAATTCCTGCGCACTTCAGCCTTGAGCMCATGCCTTGGAGGAGAGAGAGGCAGGGAAAAATACCCTATAGCCCAAAAAAGAAGGCAGAACATGGCAGTGACTGCCAAAAGCTGATGAAAACCTTGGGGCTGATGGTGCTAGAGCAGCCTCTGGAACTAACCCCGAGCAGGGGGGTCTGAAGCGCTGGGAGGTGGTCAGGGCTCTTTCYGTTGTTTGGGAACACCCGGCGCAGGGTGTCGGGGATGCCTGAGTGCTGACTCACCGGAGCAGGGTGCCGAGATGCCTGAGTGCCGAGTCAGCAGCGCTCCGGGCTGTCCTGGCAGCCGCGTCCCAGAGCTGTTCAGTTCCTAGGAAAATTCCTCCTGGGGATGGGGGCCGCCGCCTTTGCCCTGGTGCCCAGCCTGTTTCTGGCATGCRAGAGAGCAAGGCAACGACCCGGCGCCTTCCCCGGGAGCCGCCCCGAGCGGCTGCCCAGCTTTGCGGGCAGAAACGCGAGCGGGTTSGCGCCTCGGCACGCGGCTGGGGCTGCTGCAGGCCCGCGGCTCGGGAATCAGCTGGAAATTCTGCTAATGCTGCGCCCTGCAAAGCACAATTCCGAGCTCGCCTTTCGCCMGCGCTGTCGCATCTGCGCTGCTGATGGCAGTGAAACTTTTTGTTCTGTGCATGAGCTAAGCAGGCGGGATTAGGGAGCTCTGCAGAGGGATCTCGGGGCTTCGCACAGCTCTTAGTGACAGGCACGGGAGCTGCGTGTGCGGCTTAAAACTCCTCTGTGGCCCAGACAGCCCTTTGAGTCAGCACAGGAGTTTCCACTGACTCTCAGGCTGGGACCAAACCCCTTGGTGAATGGTTGGCACTCTAATAGATGGTCATTAATCGAGTAAATCCGCCCTTCTTTAAAATGTCATCCATCAATCAGATAACTTGTTGGCATTGCAGCCAAAAATTGCATGAAAAATGGCTTTCATTGTGCCAATGTAAAGGGCACGTGGGTATATTTTAACCTCTGAGCCCTTACCTTTTGCAGGTCATGTCTTCTGAGGGATGGTGCTATCTGTGCAGCCAACACACAGGTGCTGTAGCCTTTAACAGTGTCAAGAGGGGTAAACGCACAGTCTTCAAATGGGATTACGTGGGCAGACCCGTCACCCTGAGAAGGGAGCACCCCTGTGAACGTGTAATTTTTGAGGAGAAAAGGCTGCCGTGGAGACCTGTCGAGTGYCTGGAGAGCCAAGCCCGAGACCCAGTGCTTGAGTTTCCAAATGGCAGCCGGGAATGAGAAAGAAAACGCAACAGCTACATCGGGGGCACCAACCGGGGCAGTAAATGTTTGACCTTCTCGTTTGATCTCTGCCAGCTTCCCAARTCGCATTTCTCAAAGACTGACGGGACATGTTTGACGTTATGTTTTTATTTGCCATATCTGTAGTTGGTTAGAAGTAAAAATGATCAAAACCCACTGTAGTTAATACAAAATAAAAATATAGCTGCACGAGTTATGCCATTTTTCTTAACTAACAAACAATACCTCCTCTATGGTGCTACATACCAAAGAGCTTAACTCTTCAAGGCACTTGCTCACACTAAGCCCCTACTGACTGATTTCCAGTGTGATTTGCTGGTTATAGACAATACTCCTGGGGAGTAATGTCTGTTAATCATTTCTTAATGATATTTCTTGCTGTAGCTTTTATTTCCCCTGTAACTTGTTGATTCTAAGTGCAACTCGAAAGATGCAGTCTTTTATAGTGCAATGTTAAAGTATCAGTAGAATTACATATGTCTATATAYGCTATAAAAAAGCCCTACTGTATAAGCAAACAAGGATGCAAAGTAACTGTTATGGGTGCTTCCCTTTCTTCCCTCCCCTCTGCTTTTGCAGGTGACTGGAATGAGCACATACAGGGAAAAAAAACTGCTCTGCAACCTCTCATTTCCATGAATTTTGAGAGCTGTCCGAAGCGTAATTCTGAGAGCATGCTACTAGCAGAGAATCAAATCCTGTGGCTCACCCTTACGTAAGCTCATTCTTGCCATCAAGTTCAACCCATAGCATGTTTTTCCCTTTAGAGGGAATGCCTAATGAGCATTTTCACCTTTTTCTTTTTTTTTTTTTAAAAAAAAAAGTCTTTACATCCCTGTAATTATATAACTCTTCTGTGTAGATACAGCTTTGTATATGAAATAAGCTATAAAAAGACAAATTATGCTACTTTTTCAAAATACTCTGAGATACAAAGTTGTGCAGGTGCAAAGTTTGATACTATATTGCTATAAGGAGTAAGAATGAGTAGAATGAACAATTAGTGTTATCGGAGAATATACTCTTCAAGCTCCAAGTACAGATATAATTTTGTAGGCTTTTTTAACATTTCACTGCACTTCAGACTTCCTTCTGACTGTCTCTGTGATTCTCTCAAATTCCTTTTATTTTTTCCCCCTTCCCTTAATTTCTGACCCATTAAATGTCATAAAACATAAAACATCCTTCTGGTTCCATATAAACCCAGTCATTTCTCAGCAGAGACTACAGGCAAAATACCACCCTCACCATTGGCATCAATGGGACCAACTTTTCASTTTCGCTTTTTAAATACTCTTCTAATATTACGGCATAAAGCCCCGAACGAGCAATACTGTGTACGTAGCTGCTGAATCTGTGAGTGTACTCAGAGCACAGCAAGGCAACCTACAGTGAAGCGTTCTCTTTGGTATTTCTATGTTTACGTACAGGACTACTCACAGAGCTATGAAATGGTGTGACAGGGGAAAAAGAAGAGAAATGAGCAAAAAATGGTTGTTTTTGGACTCTACGCCATATACCTCCCTGGCCTAACTCTGCGAAAGCCAGCTCACCAGCTTGCTCTGAACTACGTAATACCAGTGAATTGGCCTAAACCGGGCGGCGGGAGCGGAGCRGCTCGTGCTGTTGCCTTTGCTCGCTCTGCACGACGCCGACAGGATGCAGCAAGTTATCGCTGCAGAGAAAACCAGGGAAGGAAGCGAATTGCTGCTAGCACGTGTGGCAGAAACGTACACCGGCTATTCGCTGGCCCAAACTGCGTGTATCTGGAACCAAAGGGAAGGCTGAGACCCATTGCGCCGTCTAGTCTATCCGGAGAACAGCTGCTTGGGTTGTTTCTTCATCAGATTCTTCCATCTCGCCGCGGACGGGCTCACTTCTCTCCTCGGACGCTTTGTGGCTAGGAACTTCTAGAGGCATCCCATACTCCTCGTCGTCTTCGACGATGGACAGCTCGATGTTGCTGTTGACGCTGGCTTTCCCTTCCATCCTGGCTTCCTTCTCCAAGGAGTCGGCCATGGCTTTGCTCTCTTCYGACAGGGACGCGGTGGGCGTCGCGTCGGAGCGCACGTCGGAGCAGGACAGCTCCTCCTCGTTCTCGCCTTGCTCGTTGCTCGTGGATTCCGCCGGCCGCTCCTCGGCCTCAGCGGGGCTCTCTCCCTCCTGGCCTGTCTTCGCGTTAGGCGTGAGGGGAGATGCTTTGAGCGAGGAGCCCTTGGAAGAGGAGGACTTCTGGTGATGCCCAGTGAGGGACTTCCTGATCTTCTCTCTGCGCTCGGGTGAGACGATCTTTGTGCCGATCTTGTTCATCTTCTTCTCGATGTTCTGGCGGGAAAACGCTTTCTTGAGGCTGTCTACCTTCTTGAGGCCGGACCTTTTAATCTTCTCAGCCCGCGACTCCTCGACCTTCTCCTCCGCACTGTCTTCGGCGTCGCCTTCCTCGTGAGGCATCTCGTCATCTGACGACAGCTCCACTGTATGCAAGGTTTCTTCCAGGCTTTTGTTCTCATCCACGGGCTCTTCCTTCCCTTCTGTAACGCTGGGAACGGGCTCCTTTGCAAAAACGCTGGCAGGGATCTCATTTTCCTCCTGAAAGAATTGACGACATTTGAGTTTCATACTTCACAGGACACAAATTTAATAAACAAAGCACAGCCCCGAACAGTTACTTTTTTTTTTCCCTAAACAGCACAATGAAGGATGCTGAACATTTCTTGTTATTTCAGTATATTTAACTAGTAACAAGCCCCTCAAAGCCCACTGAACCATTAGCTGGTACAATTTAGGACTAATGAGTTGCCAACTGTGAGATTTCTCTTTCAGAGCGACTTGGAAGGTCTACAGGACAGAAAGCCTGTTCTTTGTCATTTAAATTGAAGACAGTTATTAAAGAGTTTGGCTCTAACACCGTAAATTTATCTGCAGGGAGATGCAGGGATGGTTCTGTGGCTCAGGCTTGGCTAAAGAGGTCTTGCCACCCATCTCCTGCATCGACCCGAAGAAGCCACGTAGCCTCCCACAGCCTTCAGTTTCTCCAGGGAAAGGTTGGGAATAATAATCCCCCATGGATGGGTGCCCTACAGGGAGAATGTCATTAGCATTTTCACCTAATTTCACAAAAATGTACATTGCTGCTGTTGTAAAAACTGGGGTTTTGGTATGGAGAAGTCCAAGTTCCCAAGCGGGGGATGTTGAAGGTCTCTGGTTCCCTTGGATTTAAGTCTGTTGCTCAATATCCCATAAAGCTATAAAATGAAATGTACCAAAAAAATTGAAAAGAAAAACACTCTTGTTCATAAGCATGAGCTAATGATTCAATTAAAAGCAGACCCTAGATGGTCTTAGGCTATTGGACAGGCCTGGCACTCAGGAAATCAAACCTCTGCTTAAACTTCTTGCATGGCCTTGGGAAACATCAGCCTCTGGGCATCTATTAGCCTGCTTGTAAAATGGGAATAACTGCTGGCATGGAAGCTATTAAACACAAATCAAAATAAACTAAGCACAGGGTTTTGGAATGCAAAGGTGGAAATGCTCTGTGGCCAAAAAAGCCTTTTCTGTTTCAAGTACAGTTACTGATAAGATGTTTTAAGGGGGCTATAGATGGCTCTTGGTGTAGCAAGTTTATATGATACTTGTGTTTTGACACTTTTTCCAGGGTCTGGTATTCTTGCTAGGAAGACTGGAAAAAAATAAACACAACGAAATGCCAGTTGCTGCAAGTAATGTACAATTCCCAAGGCCAAAAAAAAGGCGGGGGGGGGGGTGAGGGAAGAGGGGAGAAAAATCTAGAAATTTGATCTTTCCTCCTTGATCAAACCCAAAATCCTGAGAAAGGCACAAAACACCTTTTTATTTTCTGCGCTTGAGCTCAGAAACAGCCCCTGGGTTCTCCTCAGACAAATGTGGCCATAACTAGCCCCTCTGAAATGCATGGAGTCCAAATCTCCATGTGCAAAACCTCCTGTCAAAACTAGCGGTATTTACAGACGGAGGTGCCAACAGATGGGGATTTCTGTTAAAATAAGTGCTTCTGAGGGCAGCTCAGAATTGGAGACCACGCTCAAACCCAAACAGCTCTCCCCAAACCTGGTCACRGAGCCAGGAAACAGCAGGAACGATGCCAAAGCTCAATAAGGATTTTAACAAACAGTTACCTCTGTGTTTTGCTAACTCGCTGCCTCGCTCGCGGCAACTTTTGCAACCTCAAATGCTTGCAGGCAGCACGTGGAACTGTGAAATCCCCCCTTAAACATACACAAAAGGGGAGCAAATGGGCAACTACACCCAGGTTTCTCTGCTTTGGTACAGATCTGGCGTCAGGACGGCTTCGGCTTCTCCTTCCGGGAATTGTTTTTCGCTGGGCTTGTGTCCAAGCCAAGGGATTGATGCTGGACGGTGCAGGGGAGGCCTGGGCTGAACCGCAGCTCTGAGCRGGCCCTAATGTCCCAGAGACATTGGAGAAACAGAATAGTTCGGATGCTGCTGTGTCCTGTGAATCCTTCTCGGTGCCTTTTCCGTTACTTACGGCACCGTGTTCCTTGAACTGCCCCGTCCCCAGCGTCTGGGGACAGGGGTGCGTGAGCAGGGGGGTTTTCCTCCCCCCAGGGAGCCAAGCTGCTTTKCTGGGGTGGGAAATGGCAGGATGCCAAGTTGTGGGGTGGAGGAGGGAGCTGTGGGGTTTCTTTCTCGGTGTTTCGGGCGAGTTTATTTTTTCCGGCATGGGCGCCACGTCCCAGCTTTCCTTAAGCCTCCCGCTGCATCATGGCTTAAAAAGGGGAAAATATGCGGGAAGGGGGTGGGGTGGCGCCCGGGCCACGCCCGGCTGCGGGGGGGTTGCGGGGAGGGTGCGCAGGATTAGCAGAAAGGTGCGTGGGCGCTGCGCGGGSTTGCACAGGATTGCACGGGGGGTGCGCGGGGTTGCACAGAGCCTGCGCGGGSTTGCACAGGATTGCACRGGGGGTGCGCGGGGTTGCCCCGAGTTGCGCGGAGTTGCACAGAGCCTGCACGGGGTTGCGCGGGCGCTGCGCGGGGTGGCACAGGGGTGCGCGGGGCTTGCGCGGGCGCTGCGCTCTCACCTGGAAGATGAGCACCTTGAAGCGGTCGCGGCGCAGCAGCTGCGCGTGGTGCTGCTCGAGGCGGCGCACCTGCGCGCACTGCCGCTCGAGGCGCTCGCGCACGGCGCGCGTGTGCGCGCACACCTTGCGCGACTTCTCGAGCAGCTTCTCGACGGCGGCGCCCGTGGCCCCGTGGCTGCGGCAGAGGCGGCCCAGGTCGCCCTGGATGCCGCGCACGGCGCCCTCGAGCCCGCGCTGCCGCTGCTCCATGTGCCGCTGCTGCCCCTCCAGCGCCTCCAGCATGGACACCAGCTTCTCCAGCAGCGCCAGCACCGTCACGGCGCTCACGGCGCCGCCCGCCGCCGCCTCCCCCATGGCCCCGCTCCGCGCGCAGCCCCGCGCGGCCCCGCGCAGCGGCCGGCGGCCCTA